CTTGGCGAGACCTCATCTCTACAATAAATCAAAAAAATCAGCCGGGCATGGTAGCGGGCGCCTGTAGTTCCAGCTACTTGGAAGGCTGAGGCGGAAGGATTACCGAAGCCCAGCAGATTGAGGCTGCGGTGGCCGGGATTGACTGAGTGAGACTCTAACTCAAAAAAAAAAAAAAAAAAATCAAACAAATTAGCCAAGCGTGACGGCCCGCGCCTATGGTTCCAGCTACTTGGAAGACTGAAGTGGAAGGATCACCTGAGCCCAGCAGGTCGAGGCTGTGGTGACCATGAGCGTGCCGCTGCTCTCCAGCCTGGGGAACTGAATGAGACTTCGACTCAAAAAACAAAAAAACAAAACCAAAGTATTGGGCAACCCTCTTGGGTCCCCTCCCACACTGGGAGATTTTCTGCCCTTTCAATAAATCCTATTTTCTCAAAAGAAAAAAAAGTATCTTTGATTTTAGAAAACATACTCAGAATATTAAGGGGTCAGGAGCACAATGCTGCCCTCAATGGTCCATACAAATGTATGTGTGTGTGTGTGTGTGTGTGTGTGTGTGTGTGTGTGACCAAGTCAAAAAATCAAAGCACTGTAAATCTTCAGCATAACACTATTTGCATAAATTACAAATACATGCAAATAAGCACAAAGTTTCCATCTTGGACCATGTAGTGATCAGACAGGTGATATTTCTATATCACCAATGACATGTTGCTTTTGAACCAGACCCTTTAACACAGCTACAATGGCAAATTTTAAACTGTGTGTATCTATCACAATTTTTAAAAAACAGCCGGGCTTGGTGGCTCAGCTTGTAATCCCATGCTTTGGGAGGCTGAGGTGAGTGGATTGCCTAAGCCCGCGGGTTCGAGACCCGCCTGGGCAAGTTGGTGAGACCTCATCTCTACAATAAATAAAAAATCAGCCGGGCGTGATAGCGCGCACCTGTAGTTCCAGCTACTTGGAAGGCTGAGGCGGAAGGATCGCCGGAGCCCAGCAGGTCAAGGCTGCAGTGGCTGGGAGTGGTCACTGCACTCCAGTCAGGGTGACAGAGTGAGACTCCAACTCAAAAAAAATAAAAATAGGCTGGGCTCTGTGGCTCAGCCTGTAATCCCGCGCTTTGGGAGGCCAAGGTGAGTGAATTACCTGAGCCTGCGGGTTCGAGACCTGCCTGGGCAACTTGGCAACACCTCATCTCTATAATAAATTAAAAAATTAGCTGGGCGTGGTAGCGCGCGCCTGTAGTTCCAGCTACTTGGAAGGCTGAGGTGGAAGAATCGCTGGAGCCCAGCAGGTCGAGGCTGCGGTGACCGGGAGCAGCCACTGCACTCCAGTCTGGGCGACTGAGTGAGACTCCAACTTAAAAAAATAAAAATAATTAAAAAAAAAAAAATAGTTGAACCAAGTTTGAAAAATAAAACAGACAAGCAAAACACCCACAGAGACACAAGCAGACATGGCAAGTGTAGCAGGATGGCCTTATGAATGGAGCTCCTCCAAGTTCCTGAACATTTTCTGTAAGTTTGAAATTACTTCTAAGTAGAAAGAATAGGCCAGGTGTGGTGACTCACACCTGCAATTCCAGCTACTCGGGAGGCTGAGGTGGAAGGATTGCCTGAGCCCAAAAAGTCGAGGCTATGGTGAGCCATGATGGTGCACTGATAGGGCCTGGGATAGAGGGAGACCTTAATCCCCCCCCAAAAAAGATTCAGGATGGGCAGGGTGGGCAGGGGCCCCATTTGTCTACAGGAATTCATTTTGCTACTTCCTGACTTTTGATGTTTGAAATTCTCTTTGATAAAACATTTTAAAAGAAGAAAAAAGAAGCACAGAAATTGTTAAAAGTGAAAAGGCGGCTGGGCACAGTCACTCAAGCCTGTAATCCCAGCACTTTGGGAGGCCAAGGTGAGGGGATTGGCTGAGTCCACAGGCACAAGAACAGTCTCAGCAGCTTGGTAAGGTCTCATCCCTACAATAAATAAAAAATTAGCCGGGCTCGGTGGCTCAGTCTGTAATCCCGCACCTTTGAGAGGCTGAGGTAAGTGGATTGCCTGAGCCCGCGGATTTGAGACCTGCGTGGGCAACTTGGCGAGACTTCATCTCTACAATAAATCAAAATCTAGTCGGGCGTGGTAGCGCGCACCTGTAGTTCCAGCTACTTGGAAGGCTGAGGCGGATGAATCACTGGAGCCCAGCAGGTCGAGGCTGCGGTGGCTGGGAGTGGCCACTGCACTCCAGTTGGGCGACAGAGTGAGACTCCAATTCAATAAATAAATAAATAAATAAAAAATTAGCCGGGTGTGGTAGCACACACCTGTAGTTCTGGCTATTTGGAAAACTGAGGTGGAAGGATCACCTGAGCTCAGCAGGTTGATGCTGGGGTGGCCGTGAGTATGCCACTGCACTCCAGCCTAGACAATGGAGTGAGATTCTCATGCCAAAAAAAAAAGTGAAAAGGCACTACTGAACACTGTGCAGGAGGTAGCTGTTTCAGACCACCACGTCCCGCCTCCTTCCTGGACCTCACGGTCAGGGCATGTCGTGGGCTCCCCCGGCCACTTGTGGATACTCAGGACAGAGGGCAAGGCTGGGCTCGGCACCCGCCAGGCAGCTCATCCCCCTCCAGGAGCAAGGGGTCTCCAGCCTGCCTATAGCTTGGCTTCTGGAGGCTCGTGACCAGGAGAGCAGAGTGCAGTGTGGGTGCTACCCCCATGCAGGTGCCAGACTGTGGGTGCCAGGACTACACACGGCCAGTCTAGACAAAGCCCAGGGGGTGTGAGGGGCCAACAGGGCTGGGAACAGCCCAAACCAAGGCCAAAGTGTGGGTAGGGCCCAGGGCGGCAAGGACGGTGTTGGAGAGTGGCGGGCTGTGCCATGCTAGAAAGCCTTGCTGTGGTAGTCAGAGGGTCAATGGGAGGGTGCCAGGCAGAAGCACAGAGGCAGCTGTGTTCATGTGGCTCAGAAAGAAAGCGATGGTGACAGACAGTGTACATCAGAGAGAAGGGGGAGGGAAAGGATGGGGAGGAGGGAGGAGAGGGAAGATGGGAGAGGGGAGGGAGGATGGGGAGGGGAAAGAAGGAGAGGAAGGGATGGAGAAAAGGGGAGGGGAGAGAGGAGAAAGAAGAGGGGGGAGGGTGGGAGAGGGGAAGGCAGACTGGCAAGGGGTCAGTGACTGTGTGTCCAAGTCAAAGACACACTGGGGGTCACTGTTCTATTCTTGCCACTCTTGCAAATGTGTTGTTTCTCAAAATAAAAAGTTAAAAGAACACGACAGGCCGTGTGGCCCCAGCAGCACACATGGGGCTACACGCGGTGACAAAGTGGGGCAGGGCTCGGGTTTGGCACCATATTATCTGTGCAAATGGGAAACACCAGCCAACGAAATAGCTGGAGATATAAAAGCAGACAGTGGACAGTGGTGCAGCCTTGTGGTTGGAGGGGGCTGGAGGGGGACCTGGGCGACCCGTGGGTGCTTATTACCCTGCACTGGAGACACAGCCACTCCAGACATCACGGTGGACAAGCCCGGGCCTTACCTGCCTCCGGGCCTCCTCACTGGCTGCTCCCCACCTGGGCCCTGCGCAACTACTCCCTGACCTCCAGCCTGCACAGACAGCAACCGCACCCCCCGCACGCACGTGCCTGCCCCAGCACCTACCGAGGCTTCCCCGGTGCGCTCCTCGGCCGCAGCCATGCTCGCCACCTTGGAGATGATGGGTGCCACATTGGTGGGCCCGTACAGCTGGACCCGGGGCAGGCAGTTCTGGTAGGCCTCCACCACGCCCTGGATCCCTGTGGGGGCACGGGGTGAGCCTGGCCCCACTGCACCCCTCCCCCAGGCCCACCTCGAGCTCCTACCTTCACACCCATCGTCCTCAGGGTTGAAATTGATGGCAAAGTCATGGGACACCTGGGTGGGGATAAGAGGTCAGGTAGCTGGGACCCCCTCCCAGGACCCCCATGCTCCTCATCCACTGGGAAAGGTAGGCTTGGAGCCTCTGGGGGCCCCATGCAAAAAGGCCTCCACAGCTGAGAAGCTGACCCAGAGGAAAGCAGGAGACAGACAGACCAGTCCTGGACCATTGCCTTAGCACCTGAACGCAGCAGTACCTGAAGCTCCCAAGTTACATTAGCCAACAATCCCCCACACACCATTTTTTTTCTGTTTAAGCCAGTTGAATTGTTCTTCCTCATCTGGAAGGAACACGGAACTTGTCTCCAGAACCCCCAAGCCAGTCCTGGAGGTTGAAGGTCAGTCTCTGGCTGCGAGGCCGTTATCTCTGCTTCCTACCCTCCCGATCCTATAACAGCCAGTTCCCAGCAGGGAAGGGTGACATCCTGGAGTCCTGGACCCTCAGAACAGATGGGCATGAAAAGGAATGTGGCCCCAGCCCCTGGGCTGGCCTACCTCATACTTGGGAGGGATCCGGGCACCAAACCCCAAAGCAGAAAACCTCTTGTCGCTGGAAAAGAAACAGGTTCAGTCGCCCAGGGAACCCTGACCTCCTGGGTGTGCAGCTGAGCTACCTCTGGGGAAACAGGGACCGGAGCCCAGGGCCTGATAACCATGGTGTGGTGTCATGGCCATGCCACATGAGAAAACTGAGACACGAGGCAAAGAAACTAGGGTGGGTGTGCAGAAGCGGGCACAGTGCTGGTATCACTACCATGCCACATGGGAGAAACTGAGGCACAGGGTGGAAAAGAGACCAGGCAGGTGTGCAGAAATGGGCACTGGGTTGGTATCACCACCATGTTACGTGGGGAAAACTGAGGCACGGGGTGGAGAATGAACCAGGCCAGGTGTGCAGGAAGGCTGGTATCACTGCCATGCCACATGGGGGAAACTGAGGCACTGGGTGGAAAAGAGACCAGGCAGGTGTGCAGGAAGGGGGAGCTGGTGCACAGTGGCCCCAGATGTTCCCACGTTCTCGTCTCGTGACTTGCATATGTGCTCAGGATGCAGACACCTTCTCAGGGGTCCCCTAATGCCAGGAGGGGTCTGTCTCCTGCCCTTGGGACAAAGGCACCCACCAACCCAGGTGGAGGGGTCCAAGGAAAGGGTGCTCAGGGCTTCCTCTCCCAAGCCTGGGGTCGGGGAGCTGGCTGTGGGATGAGCTCAGCGTCCACCCCCTGGGTTGTGTTCGGACCACTTCCCAGCTGGGCACCCTTGGGAGAGTCCCCAGGGGTTGCTGGTCTGCAAAGCGGGACAGACAGCTCCAGGGTACTGTGGAGCCAGCCTTGCCGGGATCACCAAGAAGGCGCCCCTGCCCTTCCAGGAAGGGTCCTTGGATCCTTGGACACAGGCGTGGTGGCCTCCATGTGGGCCCCAACGCGGGCTCACCCAGGGAGGCGAGGGGAAGCTATGGGGCCCACCTGTCGTAGTCCTGGCAGATCTCGCCCACGGACACCAGCGCCTGCAGATACTCGTTGGGTTGGTAGGGGTTGATATAGTGCAGGGAGCAGCTGTTCCGGGGGTCCCCGTTGGAGGCCGTGAAGTCTATGGCCACCTGTGAGATGCCCGGGAGCCATACTGGGCTGGGCACCTGCCCCATCTGATGGGCAGGAGAGACCCAGGGTGGCCGGGACCCGGGTGTGGGTGGGCTCCACGAGTGGGGGGCCCCAGCCCCTGCCAGCCCCCAGCCCCCGGATCCGGGAGGACACCTCCCCACGTGGCTGGGCTGGGCCCCAGCACCCACAGTGTCCTGGTCTTGTGGGGGGACAGGCTCCATCCCTTCTCCACCCCTGTGCATAGCCTGAGGACTACAACCTGGCCTGGGAGCTGGGGTCCCCTCTGTGCGCCCCACCGCTGGCTTCTCGCAGAGCCATTGTGGGTATCATTCAACAAACGTGACACAGAGGATGCTCTGGGTCTTCTGGGGTTTCTCATGAAGCCCAGGGGTTGCTAGGGCCACAGAGGGGTGAGCATCATGGCCTGCAGCTGGCCTGTCCCCAACCTCTGTGACCTCAGTTTGCTGATCAGCAAAGTGGGACACAGTACAGTCCCTTGGGTGCTTTGGGGACACGAATGTACCCCCTGCCCTTCCTGGAAGGGTCTTCTGACAAATGGACATAGGCGTGGGGCCCAGTGAGGGGCCCCTCACCCACCCTTTTCACGGTTTCTATGTCATTATGCTTTTGTAGAAGGTCAGCCTTGACATGTCACTTCCTGGGGTGGCCCTGGGCTGGCGCCTGACCTCCCGCGCCCATCTCCTCATCTGCATAAGGCGGGGACTCCATGGGAAAGGCCCATGGAGAGCACTGCCTCCTCCTCTGCACGCCTGCCAGGAGCCCCCTTCACTCCTGGGGCCACTCAGATGCTGGAGGACTCCAGGCATCTGACCCCAGTGTCCTGCTTTGGGTGTTGCCAAGGCTGGCAGTGTGAGAGGCTCAGCATGGGGAGAGACCCAGCATGGGGGGAGGGGCCCAGTGGGGAGAGAGACCCCGCATGGGGAGAGGAGTCCAGTGGGGAATGGGGCCCAGGGGCAGGGTCCCACCATGGGGGGCCCAGTGGGGAGGGGCCCAGTGGGGAGGGGCCCGGTATGGGCCACAAGACTCACAGTGAAGTGCACCTGACAGCCGCCCATGATGTAGTCCAGGAAGGAATAGACCCTGTGGAGCTTCCGGACAGTGGCGTCAGCAGGGCCCACCCAGGAAACTAAGGCTGTGGTCAGGCAGGAGCCTCCAGGGCCCTGAGGCCTGCCCGCTCTGAGCCCCAGTCCCCCTGGGCGTCTGTTCCCCCCACCTCGTTCCTCTCTCCTTCCAGCCTCTGCCATGTCCTCTCCCCTTGTACCTCCTCCTCCTACCTCCTCTGGGTGGGGACCCTGGAGGGTCTGTCCCACCATCCAGCTGGGACTGCCCCTACTCTCCTCACACAGAGCCTGGATGGGGAGCAGAGTCTGCAGCCATGGTCGGGGAGCGGCAGGGTCGTGCTCACCTTCAGGTCAGCCAGGACGACCACCCCAGAGTTCCTGTAATTGCGCTTCTTCTGCTTGTACTTGGCGTTCACACAGTCCCACTGTGCCTGGGGATGGGACAGAGAGCCCATTGGCATAGCAGCACCCAGCAGGAGCCCTCGTCCCACACAAGACGCCTCCAACAGTGAGCTTAGGGGGCATGGAGAGGGATGGGCTGCCCCTGTGGGGACCCACCGTTCGCAGGCAGTCTGAGGACACAGCTGTGAGAGGGCAGTGTGGCCAGAAGGAGGGAAGCTGGGTGCAGGTAGACCTGCAGTGTGGTCCTGGCAACCAGGCCTGGCTGCCAAAGCCCATGGACCATGACCAGGGACACTGGAGCCTAGGGACAGGAGGAGGGCCAGGGCAGTCCCCCTGTCCGGGTCCTCCCACCCAACGCAGTGACAACAGACACCCTGTGTGAGGGCCTGGGGCCAGCCCTGGACGGAGCCAAGTCTTTGACTCAGTGTTTCCAACTGGACCACGTAGGCCACTCGGGAACAGTATCGATTCTTCATCGTGCGTCTCTCTGGTTATAATGACAATAATGTGATCACCACAGCTCCTGCAAGCTCAGCAGGGTAGGTCTCACAGTGCTGGTGGAAGGTCTGACATGCCCCTCACCTGACCCTCCTCGAAGGCTCTCTGCATCTCCTCAAAAGTGGTGGAGAACTCTCCGATGAAGTCGTGCTTTCCACGGGAGTCATAATCCCAGACGAGGCCCTGGGAAGCCCATGAGCCCAGGCCCTCAGCCACTCTGCTGTGAGGGGAGCCCTCCCCCTCAAGCCTGGCTGCATCTCCACCCCTGCAGCCCAGCAGTCCTGAGCCCTGCCCATCTCCACCCCAGGCAGGTCTGGAGGGTCTGCCAGCCCACCTTCAGAGGCCGTGTCTCCTCACAGCGGCACAGGGAGCTCAGGGACACCTTGAAGGGCTCCCATACAGGGCTCAGGTTATTCTTCACCACCTGTGGGTGGGGCTGGCTCAGGGGGTCAATTGAGCCCCAGCTTCCTTGGGGCTGACAAGTGCGGCCGCGAGGTGGGCACAGCAGCCCTGCCCCCTCCCCGTATCACCCCAGACACAGTGAGTCCCTGAAACAGTGGGAGGGGCCCAGGAGCCAGTGTGTTTCCGGGCCCTCTCCTTTGGAAACCACCTTCACAACTTCTGCCACATCCCTGGGCCACCTGGGTTCCTTTCCTCCTTAAATAGACTCTTTTTACTCAAATTAGTTTATCTCAAAAGGAAATACTCTGACCGCTGCAGCTGAAATCCCATCTCACCCTCAGGAAGTGGAAGGTAGCCCTAAAAATAATGGCAGTGACAAGACAAGCCTGTGAATGCTGGTCACAGCCTCGGCCTTGGCCAGCTGCACCCGCCGCCCACGCTGGGGGAGTCACCAGGCACTGGGTACGAAGACGCTTGCAGCCATGCCAGGCCGGGAACCAGAGACACCAGGAGGCTTCTGTCATAGCCGCCCTGTCCCAGGGCACCGGGGGCTGCAGGCCACCCTGTCCTGGGGCGCCAGGGGCCTCTGCCGGCCTCACCTCTGTCCTGTACACCAGCTGCTCGCTGCAGTCGTCGTTGATGCGGTACAACTCCAGGAAGGGGTCGGACTTGCTGAAAAGGTCCTGGGGGATGCAAAGGATGGCTCGGCAAGGCGCCCCAAGGCCTGGCTCTGTCATTCCCGGGCACAGCTTCACTGCAAGGCCTCTGTGTCCTCCTAGTCGGCGACTGCAGGCTTCCTTCTCCCACCAGGCCTGCCACGTGGTCCCCCAGCCACCCCCAACCTGTCTTCAGTCTCACCCAGTGGCTCTGCTCTGTGCCTGCCCGCCACACAGAGCCAGCAGAACTGCTCAGCTGGTTCTGCCCCTTCAAGAGAGTGATCTGGGAATAAGGGTCAGGGGGCCTTTCCCCCCATCACTAAAGGGTCATGAGTGTCCCTACAGCAGAGGCTACCAGGATCCTACAAGGTGATGCAGGATAAGGTCTCCCAGCCCAGTGCCCACAGGCAGGGAGGAGGTAGAGGCAAGCGAAAGGCAGCGACAGTGGCAGTGACAGTGGATGATGGTGTTGATGACAATGGTGGTGACAAAGTGATGGTGATGGTGACAGTGACAGTGATGGTGACAGCAGCCTGACCACGACAGCAGCACACCTGGTCACCCCTGGAGACCTCATGTGAACTCCACGTGATGTACATGCATCTCCCAGGGGACACTGTGACGTGAGGTCCATGCCGGGCAAAGACCGAGTATCACACCGCTGGTTCTCAGGTCCGGCCTGGACAGACCTGCCCTGGTGCACAATCTCACCTTGTCGTCTAGCTTCCTGGCCCGGAAGGAGAGCTCCACGTAGCCGTTATTCCCCGAGATGTCCTCGGCTGTCACCTGTGGGGCGAGGCTGGGACTCCAAGCTCGGCCAGGTGGGCCTAATCCCACCCAGCCAGGCCTCTGGGGAGGCATCAGTTCCCCCGCAGGCCCTCCCCCTCCTCACGCTGCTCCTCTCCAGCCATGACACCCTCAGGGCTGCTGGGGAAGGGGCTGGGGCTGCAGGACACCCAGGCCTCACCGTGATGGTGGACTTGCCAGCATTCCTTCCGAACTTGAGCAGCAGCGCCCGGGTCATCTTCTTCTGGGCCACAATCTGGAAGTCAGAAGAGTCGGCAGGAAGGGGACTGCCCTGACCCCTGTGGACCCAACCACGCACCATGGCCAGCCCCCTGGCCTCCTGCCTCCTGCCCAGCCCAGCCCTATCGCCCTCAGGCCCTTCCTGCTGCTTTCTGAGTCCCACCACCCACTCCAACCACCTCACAGGAAGCAGACATCATTACACCCATCTGCCAGGTGAGGAAACTGAGGCTCAGGGAGGCAGTGAGACCTGCCCGAGGCTAGGAAGCTGCCCATCAGCCCAGGCTGTGGGCACCTCCCAGGCTGTGGCAGAAGCACCTCCCACAGGTGAGTGCACCGACCCCTCGGGCAGGGCGTCACAGCCTAAGTCCTTCCCACGGCTCACACAAGGGCCCGCGGATGCTGAAGAGGCGGGTGGAATGCCTTGGGCCCCACGTCTCCCAGCCCGTCCACACTGCCCAGGGGTGTCAGGGGCAGAAGGGAGGCACCCACCCAGCTCCCCACACCCTGACAGGTGATTCTGCAGGGTGGCCAGTGCTTGGTCCCCAGCCTCCTCTCCCAGCCTGGGTCCCCTCCTCCTCGCCAGGCCCCTTGGAGGCCCCTCCAATGGGCTGTGAGCCTCCAGTTGGGGTCACTGGGTCAGTGGAGGTAGGCCTGGGGGTGAGGCTGTGGAGCCCTCCCAGACACCAAAGCCTTGGCTATAAACGGGACGGTGACAGCTGCCCTCAAGGCTCAACAGGCAGCTCCATCCATGGGGAACTGTCACGCTTCCCACGCAGCCGGCACCATGTGACCACAGCAGGTAACAGGGACGTGCTTTCCTCCCATGCCCTGACCCCACCCCACGCCTAAGATGCTGGTGGATGCAGTGGGCTGGACTGGAGAGAGGCTCCGCCACTTCTCGCACCAGGGCCTGTCTGGCCAGCAGCTCTGTGCATGCTGGAATGTTCTGTGCAGAGGAGAAAACAGATCCCAGATGGGGGAATGGGGGAAGTCAAAGCCGGCTAAAGGGTGGAAAAGCCAGAGGGAGCCTCGGACTAGGCCCCTCCCGACTCTCAATTCAGAGGCTGGGGCCTCCCTGACAGCGGCCTCCCCCTCCAGCCTCCCTGTTGTCCAATTGTCTTCAGGGTGGGTGCAGGAGGAAAGGACCCGCCACTGCTCCTTTCTGGCAGGAAAGCAGGTGCTTGGGGAGAAAGAGACTCAGGTTATAGGTACAGACTCTCCTAGCAGGAAAATTAGGATGGCTGACTGGCGTTTAATAAGCCTCTTGCCTGGCTCTGGGCTGAGTGCACGGCTGACTTGAAGCAGATCAGAGTTTAGGCAGAGGTCAGGGGACTAGTCAAGGTCACAGGGGACAGGTCAAGGTCACATCACAGGGATGGGAAGTCAGCAACCCTTCCCTCGGGAAGTCCATAGTGGGCCCTTCTGTTGTTTGCACATACACAGATACGTGTGTTCAGACCCATACATATGTAGGGTCCACATGTGTGTCCATGTGTGCCCGTGAGTGTGTTGGTGTAGTTGTGCAAACATGTGTCCCACATGGATGATGACACATGTGTGTACATGTGTACACATACAGGTGTCCGTGTATCCATACAGAGTGTCTATATCTGTGTCCATGACCCCTCCCGTCTCCACAGGGGACACACCTGGCAGAACCCTGCTATACTGCATTCCCAAAGGGCTGAGCCTTCCCTAAGTCTCAGTTTCCTTATCTGAAAAATGAGGACAACAGAAGGACCCACCATCAGCCAGCTCCGACCCTCACGGCGATCGGGTGAGTCACACAGTCATTATGTTTTGTAGAAGAATCCCACACCCATGCGAACACGCTGTGTGATTCATGTACATGAAATTCTGGAACAGATACAACCAGGGGGAGCTGGCTGGAAGGGGAGGCTTGTGGAGTGATGGACACGTGCTTCAGGACCTGGAGAGGGTCCGGTGAGTGTGGCTGTCTAAGGTGTCTCAGCCCTCAAGACCTATGTGTGTCAATCGCACCTCAGAAACGGGAACTCCCAGGGCGAGGTGTGGGCACTGAGCGGGCACAAAATGATGTGCCCGGAGCCAGGGAGCTGGGCTCCGGGGTTCGCAAAGGCTGCTGTCACATTGACAACGCTACAGGGAGGGCTTCCCCGGGGCACTGCGGGAGTGTCCCTCAGGCCAGAGGAGGTGCTTGGGCTGGTGTGGAAGGGCCTGGGGCCACCAGACTGAAAAAGCAGGATGCAGACAGGGAATGGGAGTGTTTTTTAAAAGATGAAAACACGCCATGCTCCCGTGCTTGTGTGAAAACATATCTCCGGAAGGTGTCAAAGACCTGGGGGGGAGGTGGTAGAGGGGAGGTGGCCCACACATGCATTTCAGACTTCCTGAATTTTTTTTTTTTTTGAGTTGGAGTCTCACTCTGTTGCCCAGACTGGAGTGTAGTGG